GCGAAATTCTTTATATTCGTAATCATCTAAGATCTAATGCTATAACTAATAAAATCTTTTTTTCTTACCCTGGTCCCACAAATGAGATTGGACCAAAGCGCTCTGAGCATGCTATAAGCATGAAAGTAGCGCTATATTAAAGCTATAATAATAATAATTAATTCTTACAGGTTGTCTCTGGCAAACAACTCACACCTCTTGGAGCCAAGATTGCGAGCCAGCCTCGGCGACTTGCTCCCAGTGTCTGTATTAGTTGTTCGCCAGAAAACGCCTAGAGCACGACACACGAGTTATTGTATTTTTAATCACTGGTAAAATTCATATTGTGAATTTAAAATGATCAATAAAGATTTTTTTACTCAAAAAATTATTGTGCTATTTCAAATCTGAAGGACTACCACTAGGACCTACATGCAATCCCTAGTACAATGCATTGAAGTTTTCCATGTTTGCAGCCAAGGTTTTCTTTGTCTGTTTGTTTGTTTGTTTGTTTTACTCATTTGTGCCATTTTTATTTGTGCTGTATTTTTTCCCTTGTCGCTTCGTCGTGATTTTAATATGACGTCAATTTGTTCTTCTGGTAGGCCCTACGTTTGGTGCATTCAATCCATCTTGCACTTTAAATGTAAGCTGTATCTTATTTGCTGACTTCTGCGCATTCAACGATATTATCATAGGAGGAACCATCTTTCCACACAAAACTATACACAAGACAACATGGACTTCTCCAGATGGTAAAACGGAAAACCAAATTGACCATTTTGCAATATCTCCGGAATGGAGGAGAAGTCTCCTTGATGTTAGGGTGAGACGAGGAGCAGCTGTAGCTTCTGATCATAATCTGCTAATAGCAACAGTGAGGATCAAACTTTAATCCTTTAAGGATTTTTCAGACAGACCACACTACAAATTCAACACTCAGTACTTAAAGACCGAAGAAAAAAAGGTACTCTTTAAAATTGTGAGGTTAAAAATAAATTTGAAGTACTTGCTGGACTAGTGACAGATGAAACTCTTGGGCAACACTGCCTCACTCTCCAAGAGATATGGAAAAGCTCATGTACAGACGTCCTAGGCAGGAAAACGAAACAACACAAGCAATGGCTGTCTGCGAAGACACGAGCCAAAATCCAGGAACGGAAAGAGCTAAAAGAAAAGATAAACCAATGCCAGAATGAAGAACAAAAAGCTAATCTTAGAACTCAGTATGGTGCAGTAAACAAGTCTGTAAGAAAGAATGCAAGAGATGACAAAAACGCTTCCTTTATGAAATGACAGTCGATGCAGAAAAGGCAGCAGAACAAAGAGACATAAAAAGGCTGTACGACATAACAAGAACCTTAGCAGGAAGAAATACCAACACTAACAAGCCAGTGAAAGACAAACAAGGAAAAATCATCACCAGTGATGTTGGACAGAAGAATAGATGGGCCGAACATTTTCAGGAAATTTTGAACCGACATCCTCCTGAATCGATTCCGGACATACCCCCAACAACAGAAGAAATAGATGTTAACACAGGTCCTCCTACTAAAGGGGAGATCATCAAGGCCATCAAAAATGCAAAAAAGGGAAAAGCGCCAGGCCCAGATGGTATACCAGTAGAGGCTTTAAAAGCAAACCCCAAAATATCAGCTGAAATGCTGCATCCACTGCTATGCAAAATTTGGGAGCAAGAAAAGGTCCCTAAAATCTGGAAACTGGGCTACCTAATTAAATTACCCAAAAAAGGTGACCTCACTCAATGCAACAACTGGCGAGGAATCATGTTACTGTCAACCCTCAGCAAGGTCTTAACTAGGATAATATTGGAACGCCTAAAAGATGCCCTAGACAAAAGACTAAGACCAGAACAGGCTGGATTCGTAAAGAGAAAGCATGCACTGACCACATTGCTACACTACGTATTATCATAGAACAATCTATCGAGTGGCAATCTCCTCTGTACATGACCTTTGTTGATTTTGAGAGAGCCTTTGACAGTATTGACAGAGACGTAATCTGGAGACTGATGAATCACTACGGAATTCCAACAAAATTTACCAATATCATTAAACAGTTATATGATGACTCATCATGCCAAGTAATACACAATGGTAAGCTGACCAACCCTTTTCGGGTAAAAACAGAAGTAAGACAGGGATGTATGCTTTTCGCCCTTGATATTTTTGCTGGTGATCGATTGGGTCATGAGACAGACAGTCTTAGATAATAAAAGCGGCATACAATAGACACTAACACAACATTTAGAGGACCTGGATTTCACCGATGACATCTGCCTCCTCTCCCATACACAACAAAATGCTCAGACCAAACTGACCAGAAATAGCGAAAAAGACTGGACTTCTAATCAACAAAAAGAAAACAGAAGTTATGAGGATCAACAACAGACAAGAGAACCCAATCATGCTACAGGGAGAGAATATCCTTGATACGGACCACTTCACATATCTGGGAAGTAGAGTTGGTTAAGACGGCGGAGCTGAGGATGATATACTGATTCGGATCAATAAAGCTAGGTTTGCCTTTTCAACTCTTCAAACTATCTGGCGTTCTAAGGCATTATCTCTACACAACAAGATACGAATCTATAATACAAACGTTAAGTATGTCCTTCTATACGGTTCAGAAACTAGGAGAGTCACTAAAACAAAATGGAAAAGCTCCAGACTTTTGTTAACAGATGCCTACGCCGGATATTAGGAATTAGGTGGCCAGAAAAGATAACTACTATTGATTTGTGGGAGAGAACTAGACAACAGCCCATAGCCCAAGACAGTGATGCCCAAACTACGGCCCGCGGGCCGGACGTGGTTTCATCCGGCCCGCCAAACATCGGAAAAAATTGGAAAAAAATGTTGAAAAATGTATTTTCCCTACGTTAGAGACGAATGGATTTCATTGTGATCTAATGTATAACATTCATATTACTAATTTTTTTACAGAACGTGTATTTTAGGCGAAAAAAAGTTTTACAGATTTTTCTTTTTTGGACTATGCCACTGCTTTCAAGAGCTGGCCATGTCCTTGACATCTTGGGTGTGTAGCACAGGGCATCATTTCTGCATTCTTTTGATTTGTGTTCTTTTGGTATCAGTGCGAGTAAACTCTGAGTGTAGAAAATTGAAGAAAAAGTGGACAGCTCTTATCAGATATGGGTTCAAATCTCCAAAACTGAATGATACAACGCATGTTCCGACAGAGAAGCATATTTCGAAATTTATTTTTTTTTACTGACTGTGAGGAGTGCCCCGACTGATCTGCAACTGAAACTGACTGACTTAGAAAGCCAGACGCCCCTGCTTGAGAAATTTTGAGCGATGCAGACAATTGTTTTCTACGCCACGTTGCCGACTAGAGCCACGAGTTTGTAATAAGATATTTAAAATAGTTTATTCTCTTTCATTTTTTTTCATCTTTTCATTGATGTGGCCCGCGACACGAGTGTCGGAAATTAAAATGGCCCGCAGACTGTATAAGGTTGGGCATCACTGGCCCAAGACATCACAATACGAAAATGGAGTTGGATAGGACACACCTTGCGAAAACCAGCTCCCAATATTGCAAGGCAGGCACTTGACTGGAACCCACAAGGAAAGAGGAAAGTGGGCAGACCCAAGCAAACCTGGAAGAGGTCAGTCATCGGTGAAGCTGAGGGTACTGGAATGACATGGGAGCAGATGAAGAAAGCTGCTCAGAACCGAGTTCGGTGGAGAGGTATGGTTGCGGCCCTATGCTCCCCTGGGAGTGCACAGGATTTAGTGAGTGTATCTTTTTTAGGTCTTGAGTTTTGTCCTGTGCTTTACGTTACTGGACAGCCTTAGCAATTGCATTGGATATATTCTTAGAGGAATATTTGAACCATGTTTACGGTGAGTTTTGTTTCACGTTGTAAACTTATTTTAATAGGGATTCGTTCGTATTTGTAATCTCTGTTATTTGTTTTCTATAGGGTTTCGGGTTTCAGTGTGTCAGTGTTGGCGGTACATTGTGGTATTGTGAGTTATGGTACTGTGACTCTGAACATTGTTAACTTCATCGTTGGTAATTATTTCTCTTGATTGAAAGATCCTGGTATTCTGAACATTTTTTTATAGAAAGTGAACTGAAACTGTTACAGAATCTTTGTCTTGAGTTGGTAACTGAAATGTTGTTGAGGTCAGTATTATTGGACACTGGACAGCATACTATAATAAGGTGATTATTTTTTTTTAAATACTAGTTAAGTATTTAATTGAACTGAACTTATGAACTATTAACTTCAAATCATGTCATATGTATTTGTATGTACTTTTTATTCACATTAATCATTTGTCATGCCATTGTACAAATATCATTGAATTAAATGTATAGTTTAATTGTAAATCATCATACACAGCGTTGATTAATGTATGTAAATCTGGGTGTGTATAGTGTGTCTGTTAGGCTGAACCTTGAGACTGAGATAGTTAAGTAAAAAGAGATTATAATTAATTTTAACGCACACGCGCATTGAAATTAAAATTACATTTAATACCAAGACAATTTAATACTTATTAATTAAATAATCAAAGTCCTGGCAGTACTGCTGTGGTGGTAGTCAGCGTTTTTCTCTCTAAGTCCTCGATGGACTAGTAATCAATTGTTAAATCATAACTAATTGACATCAAGTACTATTTTGCAATGCTTTCAGATGTACTAGAATTGTTGAAAACAAAAGCGATTTTTTTAATTAGCCCTATAAAAATGTACCAAATTTATTTGTACCACAACAATGCTTTGCAATGTAATTCCACAGACATAAATGTGTAATTCTTTTTTTTTAATCAGGGGAAGCTACTCTTATGACATACTCAACGATACTCTTTTTTTGGATCGATACTTAATGTCGTTGATTTGCAAAAAAATAATTTTTGGCAATTTTATATTATAATTAATTAAAAATTTCCTTAAAACTAATTCACACTATATCTTATTGTATATATTAATTACGTTGATTCATTTCTACTAGCTCTTAATAAATTAATTTATGGGCATCGAGTCTAAAATATCGACTTTCTTTTATTGGTATCCAAAACAAACTTTATAACGAATACCAATTCTTTTCTGTTTTGACATCAAAGCATGCTCCTTCGATGATAAACAAAAGTTAACACAATTTTAGAAATAGATCTAGACTGGATAGACCTAGACTGCTAGATCTAATTGAGAACAAGGGATTTACGTCTAATAAAAATGAGTGAAACAACTGCAACTGTTGATGATAAAGTTTCAGGAACTGATCTAGATCTAGTTCAAGTAGTTGTAGACACTCGAACTCTAGAAGTAGAAGAGGCAGTAGGCGTAGCCGCAGTACCAGATCTAGTTCTAGTAGAGAATCATGAGAAAGAGAATGGATTTGTTAATCAAGTTGATGCTGTCAATGTTTTTAACTGTGTCAGTGTTAATAACAGTATTAACACTAACAGTGAATTGAATGAAACTGAATCCAATGTATCTATGACTATGGGCGTTAGTGTTTCTATGTTAAGTGAAGCGCAAACAGAAGAAACTCAAACTCTTGAAACTGATAAAAAAGATAATACAGTTTTAGGAATTGATCTAGTTGTAGATTCTCAAGATAATGGATCTGTTAATCAAGTTGATGCTGAAAACGTTATTAACAGTGAAAATATCAGTGTTAATAACAGTGTTAACACTAAAAGTGATTTGAATGAAACTGAAAGCACTGTACCAATAGCTATGGCTGTTAGTATTTCTAGATTAAGTGAAGCGCAAACAGAAGAAACTCAAACTCTTGAAACTGATAAAAAAGATAATACAGTTTTAGGAATTGATCTAGTTGTAGATTCTCAAGATAATGGATCTGTTAATCAAGTTGATGCTGAAAACGTTATTAACAGTGAAAATGTCAGTGTTAACACTAAAAGTGATTTGAATGAAACTGAAAGCACTGTACCAATAGCTATGGCTGTTAGTATTTCTAGATTAAGTGAAGCGCAAACAGAAGAAACTCAAACTCTTGAAACTGGTAAAAAAGATAATGAAGATGATAGATCTAACCCAAGATCCAATACAGATAGATCTAATTGTTCTGAAATTGAAGATGATTGTGTCATAGAACTTGTAGAAACGTCAGAAAAAGCTGTTAAAAATAATTGGTAGGTATTGTTAATTTATTTGAAGTTCAATGTGTATTATGCAGAAAAATCATTAAAATGGTATCATTTTCTCCCAGACTACATCTAGGCTTTAGTCTAGTGTACAATCTCTTCTTGTCCAGAACTATTGTATTTTAAGTTTAATATTTAAATTAAATTGTCCTTATGTTTTGTATAAAAATTCTATTTACTTAGTAATTGTGAGATCTTTTGTTGTTATATAATATCTTAATTTTGATCAATGATTATCAGTATTTATTAAAAAATAAATAATTATACAATACATTCATTATTGATTACCGTCCATCTGCTGCTTAGATTGTCCGATTTTGTTGGTCTTATTTTATAGAAAAAAAATTCAATCTTACACTTATCCCATTTGTAACTCGTGTGTTGAGTTGTACTTGTTAATCATAGATATTACCATTTAAGATAACCCATTCCAGTCAGCAATGAAAGAGTTCGTTCATGCATTTAGTTTCAGAATAAGGAACAAGTTATAAATGTGTTATATTCTTATCTTTTTCTATATTTTTTTTTTCAGTTTAAAAAGAAAATTTCCTTGTGAAATATGTAATCAGACTGAGGCTATCTATACTTGTCCTTGCTGTGAGCTGAGAACCTGCTCCCTGCCATGTGTCAAAGAACACAAGATTCGACTTGGTTGCAGTGGAGAAAGACTCAAAACTGCCTTTGTAGATAAATCACAATATGGAGAGGGACATCTTTTAAATGGTTTGTTTACAGTTTTAGATGGATTAGAGTAAGCATTTCTGTATACTTAAAAATGAACTCGTAATTTATGAGGAAAAAAAAACTCCAATAAGATTGTCCTTAGCACATTACAAATATTTGGGATTTTTTTATGTTTAATAATAAAGTTTCTTGTTCAACATATTGCTGAACATCTGAAATTTTAAGCAATGTTGTTTTTGAAGACCCAAACCTGTTTCTGTGTCTTGGTTTGTAAGACATTTCATGTTGTTAGATAGCACTTATTCTCCACAGCTGTGTTTTGGTTAGTGCTTGATGCTTCAAGAACTCATGGTCTGTTTAGACATCAGATCTAGAGAATAAAACACTAGAGTCTACTCTATAGGACTAACAATTTTTTTTAAAAGCAAGCATAAAGATGTATATAAATTACTTTTGTCAGGGAAAAAAGATGAGTTAGAAAAAATTGCAATTCAAATCATGTATAAGCATGCGCATTATGAGTTAAATTTTGAATTAACTATTAGGTACTTTTATAACCATCACTGTTATCAACAATACTTATACTTTTTGCAACGCACTTTTAAATTACAAATTATGTTTGGTTGAATGTTTTGTTGATAAAATTTGTATTGTATGTGTTTGTAGATTACAGATTGCTTGAGGATGCAAACAGAAAACTGTACAGTTTTAAATCATCACAAGACAACAGAAAAAATCATTCGTTCTCAGGACCATATATGAATAAAAGGGTTAGATTTCTTACTCTGTCATGTTTATAATTGTAGCAGACTGAAACTTTGTACAGTAACAAATATTGTACAAATATATCATTTTCTTGATTATTTTTTTCTAGAATGCTTCAAAAGATTTTCTTCCTGCTTTTCATTCTTTTTTTTTTTTTTTAAACTAATTCTTTGATTAGTTTATCTCTTTATGACTTGTAGGTTAAGCTATATTTTATGTATTTAAGTTTCAATACAAAAGTAGAACATAATAGAAAATGTTTTAGTGATTTGTATCTCTCTTCAGACCAAGCTCTTAAGTACTGCTGCCTTCAAGAGAGGGATCAAACTACAAGTGTTATCACAAGCTTTGACTAGGCATAAAAATAATACAAGTTATTATATGATAAGGTTTGTCAAAAATACTTTATATTTACTTTATGTTTTCTGCTGTTTGTATTAAGCTTAATGCAATTCCATCTTTTAATTAAAAAAATCATATAAATTTTGGCTTAACTTGAAAATTGTTCTGATCTTATTTGAAGTTGTTAATTAAAATCATCCTTTATTTAGAATATTTTTTATATAAGTTTGAAACTTCAGGGCTATGGTTTATGACAAATTTTAATGACTCTATATTTCTTGGCTTCCAGATCTGATAAAATTCTTTGGCACATTGGTTGGCATTTTGTGGCTTCCAATACAGAAATAAAAGATGAACGGTGAGTAGCTATTTTAACATTTATGTATAATTTCAACTTTATAAGGTATGTTACTTTTAAGTCTTGATGTAAATTTATTAACAATAATACACTATTCCATGTTGTTGGTTTTTTTTTTCACATTTTCATTCTAAATCAAATCTGTTCTGTTGTTGATTGTTCTTTAAATCTAGTGTGCCAGAAGATACCATTCTAAAAGACATTGCCAAAAAGTGGATCAATTTTGTAGATCACCCAGAAATGAGGAAATGTTTAAGAGATTATGAGAAGGACAATCTTGAAGCTTCTCAGTTTCTTTTGAAAATTGAATGTTTGCCTGCCAATAGAGTCAGGTCAGTAGACTTTCTGAAAAGATTGTGAAGATAGCCAAACATTGAATTGCTAGTCTCTTTACTTGTTATACAGTTACATATTTTGCTACCAGTACTTTCTTAAAAAGTCTGGTGTAAACTTTTCATTCTACTTGTTGCGACCCTTCACTTTGTTACATGTAGTGTTGACTTCGATAACATTAACTAATTAATCCAATTAATTAGTTGATTTATAGCCACATTGAAATAGTGGTTCCATAGCATCTTGGGCTTAATAGCCAAATAGAAGAATTGCATCATTTAAACTATTCCAAAATGTAGTAGAAATAAAAGGATTAGAAAACTTAAAGGTGTTCATATAAAAACAAAACCTTGGCTGAAACATGTATGTGTTGAACATTGACATCTGCAGAGCTGTCACAATGTGCAATGGAATCACATGTTATTTTATTTTTGCTGTTATATATTGCAAAAAAAAATTAATTAATTGATAATATGTAAATAAAATTAAATAACCAAAAGTAAAAGAGCTTGACTGGCAATTTTTGCTCATGGCTTGAGCTTTTTACTAGTTGTAGGAAGCTGGACACATATCACCCACTGAAAATACTGAGTTCCATTTCAATCAAAACTAAACACTCTTAGTATTTGGCTGTATTACATCTAGACATTTTAGTATTAACATGTATTTCAGATTAACTCACCTTAAGATTTCTTTCTCAGGTTTTTTAAACTCAATCCCAATGCTACACTTGGTGACAATCTAAAAGGACATTGTCTGACAGAGTTCCCTACAATTTATGTCTTACCACCTCAGTACAAAGACACACAGAACTTTGTCCTAATCTCTGAAGGTAAGAGACATTATGTTTCAAACTTTAATATGTCATTTTTGTTTTCACTTTAGCATCTATAATGTGAAACAGATCAAAACCCTTGTCTAGGGCTATACACTTCATTTTGTTGGCCTCAAATCTTTCAACAATATTTCCTGCATTGTTTCTTAACTCTTTCTCTCCTAATTGACGATATCATCGTTGATTTGACCCCATTAAATTTAATTAATTTTTTATTTTATAAACTTTAATTTGACCAAAAGTAACGTATTCTGATTACATGCAAAAATTTTATTGAAGTTTTATCATAACAGGGTAGAATGTACACGTGAAAAAAACTATTCTGTCAGAACGTGGAAAATAATTACGGAGATAAAGAGTTAAAAGAACACATCCGAATTGTCTCTATATATTAAATAGTACAGTTCTTTTATTAATTTAATATTTCTATACACAATCAGACTATGTAACAATGGGTGAAATTACTGTTTTGTTGTTTTATTTGTTTCTGGTAGATGATTTGGAGTTCATGGAGGTACTAAATCGTCAACATTTAAAACCTTTGGTGGCAACAACAAGTCAAACTGACCTTGAATTACAACTCTTGAATCCTAAATCAGAAATATACATGCCAGAAATTGGAGATGGTCTCGAAAGATAAATTGAAAGGGAAGATAACCAATTGTTTAAGAACTTTTAAACATGTGAAACAAAATTTCTAGCATAAGAGTTGCAGAGTACTGGTACTAAAATTTTCCAGCTACCACTAGTGAACAGTATTATAGATTAAACATGATTTAGACTTCTGACAGATCTTGGTCTACAGCTTGTTATTGTTCCACTGAGACCTTTTTTTTATTTTGCCCAACTCATTTGTTGAAATGTCAGTACTTGTACATAAGCAAAATTTGACATTGATATAATAATTTGATCTTTTGATTTTATTTGTATTCTTATTATGCATTGAAGACTGTATACCACAACAATTAAATTGTTAATTTAAATTGATTTTATGTAATGGTGATTCAGATTAATTCATAGTGCTTTCATTCTGGTAGGATGTGAAGCAAAGGAATTGATT